ATTCGAATAAACTTACAAACTTACGTGGGCAACCAAACTTACCCAACACCAGCCACAATGCCTCGCGGTTCACCGTAGCAAATGCCTTGGTGAAATCAACAAAAAGCGAGTACAATGGCTGGTGTCGTTCTCTGCACTTCTCCTGCAACTGACGAGCCACAAACACCATATCTATAGTGCTGCGACCCAAACGGAAGCTGCATTGCTTTTACGCGACGTTAGGTTGCATAACCTGACTGACGAGGCGGTTGAGCAGGATTCGGGCAATCATCTTGCCCACACAACTCAGCAAGTTGATGCCACGATAATGCGTGCAACATTGCTTTCTATCTTTGCCCTTGTACAGTGGTAGTACAAGGGCATCCTTCAGTTCAGGAGGCACATCCTCCTCAATCCGTACACGTTGCACCAAGTGGTGCAGCGCAGTCAACAACGCGGGTCCACTGTGTTTCAACAGTTCAGGCGGGATCCCGTCGGCTCTGGCACACTTGCGATTTCGCAGCTGAGCAAGTGCTCTCTGCGTCTCATCCAGTGTCGGCGTGTCCGCCAGATTCGCCTTCACATCGTGCTGCTTGAGACCGTTCAATGTAGGCCAGTCGATCTCTGAACGGTTGTTCAAGAGACAGTCAAAGTGTTTCCGCCAGATCTGCGGTATGTCTGCAGTCTGTGTGCAGGTGGCGCCTGAACTACCATCGATCAGCGTCCTCAGCGGCTCCAATCTCGGTCCATACACCGCCTTCAAGGAGTCAAAGAATTCCATGTGTTGGCGGCGTTCGGTGTAGCATTCCATCTGCTTCGCCTTCTCCGTCCACCATGCATTTTTAATGCCACGGAGCTCTCGGGTCAGTCGCCGTCGAAGTTTGCGAAACTGACTCTTCTTCCCCAAGTCACTGGGGTCTGCAACATGTGCAGCAAATGCTGCATTCTTCCCCGACACCAATGCGCCAATCGTCGCATTGTTCTCATCAAACCAATCAGGCCGCTTACAGTTTGCGCGCCCAATGGTCTCCTCGGCAGCAGCTGTCACCTGGTCGCGAATGTGGTGCCATAGGTCGGCCACTGTGGCCATGCAATCCACATCACACAGGCGTGTAGCCATCGCCTTCTCCAGCTCAGTACGTTTCGCCACATTACAGAGGGAGAGAAGGTCAAATTTACGCCGATCATGGCGGGAGTGCAATACATAGATTTACGAAAATATATGTACAGTTTAGTCCGCACCAATTTATGACCAGTGCCACACTCAGCTCCATGCAGTACACGTGTCATGCGCACTTCACGGATATCACGCTGATGTACAATGACATAGTCGAGCATGTGAGCGTGACCACTCCGTGGGTGCGTCCAAGTTGCTATTTCACTCGCACTCAGTGCAAACCGAGTGTTCGTGATCGTCAGGCCGTGAGTGGCACACAGTGAGAGTAGCCTGTCACCGTTCTCATTCGCTGAACCAATGTCATGCGCACCGATAACATCTGTGCACGCTGATGCATCACGCCCAACGCGCGCGTTGAATGCACTCAGCAGAAATAGTCAGTCACTCCACGGCACAGACCGTATCCCGGAGGATAGCTGAGTGTAGTATTGATCACGCGTGTCATCAGGATAACACATGGTCGGACCGTACGTGCTTTTAAAAGTAGCAAACTTACCTCTTCCGAGTCGTAGGCGAACAGTCATCAGTCGCGCGCTGATGCCTGTTGGTTCACCCATCAGCCGGCCATGGAGGCGATCGAATATTGCAAATCCGACCCCATGATCACGTGGTACTGAGGCGGCGTTTCCCACCCAGTAGAAGGTGTAGCCAGCACCTGCTTCATGCAACTTACCTTGCTCAGCGAGTCGGGTTTCACTGAGCGCCGCAATATCGATGTTGTAGCGCGCCAGCTCCATCGCGGCCAGTGCAGTGCGCCGCTCTGGGCGCTCACTGGAGTTCCGGTCCAGTAGTGTGCGCACGTTCCAGCACCCGATACTGAGTGTTTGCGCGTAGGCATACGATTGCATTGGTGGGCAATCGCACGCGAGGTGGTTGTTGTGCTTCGGAGGTTTGCTTGAAGGACTCTACCCGGAGCCTTTGACTCAATAGCCCGACCCACAAGGCAGTGGGTGGTTTGGAGGTTTGCTTGAGAGACTCCACCCGGAGCCTTTGGCTCAATAGGCTGACCCATAAGGCAGTGGGGAGCAGATCCAGCTCGGGAATGTGATTGCAGAGACAAATTGGAAGCTGCTTGACGGCCGTCACATGCAGCTTTTGAGGTTCTGGAACGTTTTATATATGTTTTGCGACCTTAGTAGGATACCCACCTGCGACCACGGCCAGACGCAGGTGGGTTTTGGCGGGTTTGCGTCAATTTGACCAGGGGCTGCCTGGCTTGAGGCGGGCAGTAGCAAACCATTGAACACCCGGTGGTGCCCTCCCACCGTCAGAGACAATGCGTGGCCCTCGTGCTCTACGCCAATCGAGGTGTGAGCTTATAACCCGTAGACCTGTTGTCTCCCATGGCTAGGTTTTACGGGAAGTGGGCCATCGACCACTTCCTAACCCCCGGAGAGGATGGACTACTGCTGCCAGGATACTGCCAGGGCGCCCATTCCCGACGGGAGAACGACTCGGGTCCTCAGCCAAAGCCTTCGATTAAATGAACACCCGAAAGGCAGCGGGTCTAGCACATGGTCAGTTCACTGACTCATGCGGATTGGTGTCCTCGATCTTAGCAGGGAGAAGGGCGAAACCCAACTCCCACCCAGCGGTCGCCACGAGGAGGCGCCCAGGACATGAGCAAATGGCACAACAGTAGCAGCAGTAGGTAGACCATCTGTCAGGATCTAGCCACCACCAGCCTCAGCGCGCCATAGGCTCTCCCGCCTAGTGAGCCATGAGCGAGGCCACTCGGGACTACTACCGAAGCGACGATGGGTTCTGCAGAGAACGTAGGCAGAACCGGCGCAGCGTTTGTAGGTAAGCTGCATTTTATTTACTAACCGTGTGCTTGCATGCTAAGTCTCTTTATTTCAGGTGGTGGATTTTCAATTTTGCCTAAATGCTTTTCTTTCTCATATAAATGTCTACCTGTACTCTATTCCATTAACTTGCACACCTCGCTTAAGCCAATTGTTTTCGATTTCCATAACATTTTTGTGTTCGTAGCATTCCGTAAAGTATACTTTTTGACCTCGTGAACTTATCTAGGATTCGTTTGTAAACAACTTATTTCATATGCTCATTAACTTAAGGTTTATGTCACCGTTTCCTTATGCATTAATAGAGTTGTTTTCTTTGTCTCTCCCTCTCTCTCAAATGATTGGCTGTTGTTTGATAGCCCCGATGTGACTGCGCTTGATGTGCATGTTGACAAGGTGCCTATCTGTCTATTACCCAATACCTCGTCCATACTGGCTCCAGGAGACAGTTGGTCGTTGCTGGAGGGGACGGGGTGCACGGTCCTTGTGGCCGTGTTAGGCTCGAAGAGTGGTTCCATGCACTCAGTGTGGAGCGGACTACGGTCCAGCCAACGTCTTGTGTGCGCTTGATTCCCAAATACAGTGTGCTTGTGTTTGCTTGTGAAGGAGTGTGGGCCGGCTCCGTTGATGAAACCTGGTTCCCATCCGCATGCCTCCCGTTCTTATTTGTTCGGGTTTACACTGGATTTGGAGTATGTGGTTGGAGTTGTGGGTGATACAGCGCAAGCCGCCTATGGTCCCTCCGTAGGCGCAGGCGTCCTGTGGCTTGCCACAGTGACAGGCAAATCCGAAACCGGATGCCGCCAACCGTATGTAGTGCCTCTGGTGCGGACGTAGAATGTAAAAGAAAGGCGCCTGCAACACGCAGCCACATCGTGCCGACGCTTCGTTGTCACGTGACCACCACCAGACGCGCAGAGACAGGATAAACTGCAACTTGTTTCGCACCTACGCGGATTCAAAACAGTGGTCTCCGGATTACAAGGTTAGCACTTTACTCTTTCGGCTGCTGTTCAGGACACTATGAAGACTAGCAGCCGTTCAGACGTACCGGTGATAAGTGGATCAGAGTCACTTCGGCTGGCGCATGGGTCGTGTTGATGAAGGGAGTCCGTGGCCCAGACATTGACTGATCATACAGTAAATATTCAAAGATGCCAGCGATAACTGTCTCCGAACTAGTATAGTTCTTGTTTTTATCCCAGAACACAGTGCTTTGCGAAATTGGTTATTCTTTGATACCCTATAAATAGTGTGCTTATTTGTGATGCAAGTAGATTCTTGATCGAGGCGCAAACTGACTTCTGCTTTTTGCAGCGTTGTACGACAACGCCTAAAAGGGAACGTATGCCACATATTCGAGGAGTCTGCTTATTTATTAATTTTTCCATTTATTTAAAGCATGATATAATCTTAACGTGTAAATCACGCGTGCACACTGTTGTGGGGACATAACAGGTTGAACCGCTGCTAGGGATCCAGCATTCATTGTACCACACTGCTAGGAAAGTTAGACTACTTCAATCGAGTATTCACGTAACCCCGTGGCAAAGAGTATTCGTAAATTTACCCTCTCTTGTCCAATACTACTGGAACTAGTCATACTTGCAACGTTACGGTGCGTCGTAACGCAACCCGCTTTGACGTGGCTGGAATGTTCCGCACTTAAAATTATCGAACGCCCGGTATGGTCATTTTAAGTGCAAACGAGCAAACACTATGGACAAAATGTCCGAAACCCAGCGCTAGAGAAGTGGCAACCCGGGCTACCCAGGGATGGCCACACTGACCGCGTGGCTACATTCAATTCTGGCCCGGCGACAGAAAGTACACAAAGAAAATCAATCTTAGTTGCCACAGCTATGGCATGCCCAACTCCATGGTGCGTGCGCGCGTTCAAGAATATTGTCGGCCACTTCACTGAGGCAGGACACTTTGGAGTGGGAATACCGATGCCTTGGTGAGCGTGGGCGGACAAACAGGTTAGGTCAATAAAGTTGTGATGCTTGAAAGGAATTCAGCAGTACAAACGGCAACGATCGTTGTTCAGCTTTCCCGATAGTGCGCACAGGCACAGTTATTTGCGGCTTGTGTGTTTCACTCTAGGAGTACCATTGGCTGTTGGTGGGTGTGCGGTACGGGAACCTCGCGCACATCCACATGCGCCACCGCACAGGATGGCGCAGGAAGAAAAGCGGCTAATGTGATGGTACTGTGGTGGGCTGTGGTTGGTCCCCAGCCTTCCACCCACGCCAGCCAGGTTCCCGTGGTTGCTTATTTCAAAGCGACGATTGCCGATCAGTTGGGTTAGTCTGCGCCTTCTGTCCACATCTAGCCCACGTTTTTGGACCGGCGCACGTTTCTTCGAACCTTGCTTCGACTTTCAGCGCTGTGGGTTCTACGTTTTCCCTGCTTGGACTGTTAACTTTCGCGGATTTCTTTTCTCACCCAACTATCTCAGACGACGCTCACCAGAGAAATGAGCCACGAATCAGAATCACATGTGAAGATTTCCCGCACAATTTATCGAGGTGTTTCGCCTAGCACGGCTCGCTTGGAGGTAAGTTCACTCAACTACCTTGTCAATAAAATGGGAAAAGGCACCTGGACCACCGCAGCTCTGATATTTTCACATCAATTTGTCGTTTTTTGTTTTAGAGCCGCGTTCGTGAACTGGAAGACATGTTAGATTTAGAAAGGGATGCACGAGTTCGAGTAAGTCAGATACAGCTACATGGTGCTTTTGAAGTGTTCAAGTAACCTTTCCCGAAAAGATGCCGCAAATCAGGGTTGGCACCGGCTTAATCATCAAAGAGGAATAAAGCAATTGTTTTGGGTTCCTCCTGGGGGCATCTAGTGGCAGTAGACGCAAACGACCTGCTCATAGAAGATGACTCCGGGACCTGCGGCCCTGAGTGTAACAATGCGAGGTCACTGAATGTATGAATGTGGTTTCCGTGTTGCTCAGACGGATGGTGAGGTGGTAAAACCATGGCGTATCACAATGTTTGAGGGTATTTCAGCAAGTTCACAGAAGGTGGACGTTTCAGCTGTGGCGTTAGCGGATACAATTAGACAGTATGTGTTAGCACAAACGAGTTAATTCGACTGATTATAATACAATTGTGTTTGGATTCTGCAACAAGTGCGGATGACCCAAAGGGATTCACTCCGTAGTCCGAGGAGTCATACTGCTATTTCGGCCACCGGAACACGCAAGTTGCGGGAGTTCCATCAAAGTACCTTAATAAAAATTATGCTAGGTGTACTAGTTGTTGTGTTTCTTAATTCCTGTGAGGTTGTTGAGGAAAATCCGACCGTGCACCCCACATTGTGACGCACTACTGTCAAATGATGAGATGCTTTATTACTGAACTACACAACTGATTTCGCGCGTGTCCATGAGCCTTTCAATCAGTCCATATCAATTCCTGTCGGTATTTGTGCGCTTCTGTGTTCAGCGCTAATGAACCTTTTCTCTCGATTCGTGTAGGCAGAGCGCCATGCGGCCGATATGAGTTTTCAAGTGGACGCACTTTCCGAACGACTGGACGAAGCAGGCGGTAGCTCAAGTCAAACTGTAAGTCAGACTTCCCAAACTTGTACCACATCACGTTTCCGATACTGCTGGTTTTCACTGACTCAATGAGTGAAATTAGTTTAGCCAAACACGAGGATCATGTAGGGATTTGTTGCACCGCCATCCAGCATTTATCATTTTGGCATGCATCAGGCGTGCTACTACAATGACAGATAAATCATGCTAAGCTGTCTCTCAATAATTGTAGTAATCAATTATTTTTAGATTGTTGTGGTGATAAATTACACCAAACCCAAACATCCTGCCAGGCTAACTTTGCGCAGTAGTTGACAGATCCCAGAAAATTTGGAACGGTCTAGACCAGGGATGTCCAAATTTTTAAAAATGTGGGTCATATTTTATGAGGCAAAAATATGCGGGCCATATTCAGTCTGACATTAGGATAATAACCAAAATGCACAAATATGTTAAAATGTTTAATGCTGACATCTGAGAATCTTTTGTAGTTTTTGCTGTAGTTAAGACCCTTTTAGTTGAAGTACTAGATTGGCATTTCCTAGTTGGTTAAAAGCAAACAAAATACTACATCATTGATTTTTGCCAATACCTGACGACATCGAATTATGTACTCATAACGTCCTTAACTTTTTTAATCTGTATAATATTGTCTGTGCGGGAAACGCAAGCCTGAATCTATTATTTCATGATGAGGTCGCAATTGGCCCGCGGGCGGGACTTTGATCATTGCTGGTCTAGACGGACTGCCCACTGCCACTTCGCCTAAATTAGGCACCAAACAATAACCTCGACCGAAAGCTTTGAGCCGAATACTACAGAATAGCAAGTGTGTGTGTCGGTACAAACAACGAGGTAACTATAAACCATATTAAAATCGAAGATTGCCCGCCTGCCAAAAATGATCCTTCCAACCCGTAAATAAATTGTTAGGAAATTCATCACAGTCTCTTCCAAAATTAGCTAGCTCTCTGTATGTCCAGAAAAGCATCAGATGACCACTTCGAACTGATGGGTCTCATTTGCAGTGCACATCCGTCGGATCCATCAGGATCTTAGCCCATGATCGCTGGCAACTTCATTGTGAATCCTGGTCAACATTGCGATTGCGTGTCGCAATCCATCCACACGTCGTGTACTTCAAAGTGACTCTTAATATCAAACATTAACTATTGTGCCAAGCGTTACCCGTCGTGACTCAGTGGCTAAAGGAGTAGGGGTCCCAATGAACATCCTAGTGATCCCGGGCTTGATGTCTGCTATCTCTACATGGTGTGGTCAGCCAAGGCGGAAACGCGTCGTGGTGTGCAGTTATCGGGCAGGCAACACCCAGTTTCCGTTTGGCTAAGATTCTGTTCAATGTGAATCGCGGTCCAAATTGAGATTGTGCGTTGCAGTCAGTATTCAGAGTACCTCTGGGTATGCACTCGGCTGGCATGTATTAAGGGCAAATAATCGTGGTGGTCTTGGTGCATTGCCACAGAACCATCTGCAAGGCTGTGACTTCGCTGCAGACAATTGAGACATCCATGTTGCCGATGCACTATGTTACCGAACTGTTTTGTCACACAGGAGCAGTAATAAGGTGGATTTAGATTAACCGTCGCGAATAATACCCCTGGGTATCTCAGATGAAACGAACTAATTCACATGCGTCTCAAATGCCCATGGTACACTTAGAATGCTTCTGCTGCACGCGGTCCGCGCGCTTCGAGATTATACCAAGTAACTAAACGGTTATGTCCACAAATAGGCCGTTAACACTGGACTGGTTTTTTCGGAACAATCCGGATGCATGTAGCCGCCCCTCAGACGATCGATTGCGCAGCGATCACACCCACGCCCCTTTTTTCATGATCGCACAACGTGCGGTGGCCACCGTACCAGAAAAGCGCGTGTGCCCTATGCATCGTATGGGCTCAGTGCATCCGTTCTGACGTTCTCGATTGGTCAGTGCATCTGCTTGCCTAGTCAGTAGAAAAACATCCTGCCAGAAGCAAGCGGTGCACTCTACGTCAAGTGGAACACAGACGTGCTTTGGCTGCCTGCAATCGACCCAGCAGCACTTTTGTTTCAGAGGCACCAGCCAAATATGTCACGGAGAGTCAGTGGTTGAAATTTAAACAGGTAGCGCTTGTCCCATAAAACAGGTCAAACAACTCGGCTAAATCTTATAAAACGTAGCAAGGAGTTATTATGTGGGGAGTGAGTGATATTCGCTGCAACCTCTCTGTGCGGTTAGTGCCATGGTTTACGTCTTCGCGAAAAAGATATAACAGCAGTGATCAGCCCTGTAGTATAAACCACATGAGTCAATATAAGCGTACATGCCTGTGTAGTCAAGGTTGCGCTGAATTATGGTGTAGTAGCAAACCGTGGCATTGGAGCAAACAACAACAGTCATCCATCAAATTACCATTCGTATTTCTCGTACCAATAGAACGAGTTGTTGAAACGACGTGAGATGGAGATTAACAAACTGCGAAAAGATTTGGAGAACGCCAACGCTGCGTTGGAGCTTGCCGAGACCTCTATGCGCAGAAGACACCAGAATGCACTCAACGAATTGGCAGCCGAAGTGGAGAACTTACAGAAACAAAAGGGAAAGTGCGTTTATTATGAGAACTTTGATTCCAATGCCAAATATCGGTTTGTTATTGCTCATTTGAAGTGTCATTTATAACTCGATTATGCGCCTAATTCTCCTAATTGTTGTTAACCACCCAACGAGGTTCATTTTCACTGCCTTATGTCTACTATGGAGCAGCAGTGTATTAGTCACAATGAAGTAACGTACAACTCACAGTCTGTGTGT